TGATTGTTAACAAAGAAGTTTCTATCAATTTAGAGGACAATATGTGACTGAGTGGTGAACTTTGAGAGAAAATTGAAGTAGAAGTATTCAATTGAAATAAATTTAAATTTAGCGACTTAATTGAAATTTATTAAAGTTTAGTGACATCAAATGAAATTTAACCACCATTCATCACTTTTCCTTGTTCTTTTACTATCTACCGAATACGGTACTATTAATGCTAGGTGGGCCGCCATTTGAGACCACAATCTTTTTTCTCAAAGGGATATCATATCATTGTTTCCAATCTAAAACATGTAGGAAAAAAGCTATACGTGCAGGGGGCAGCCAACTGGCCCCCTTTAACGTACATGTCTATACATGCAGCACCCCTCAATATGTAAATCGACCATGTTGAGCCCCATTTGATCCCCATTAATTTTCATTTCATTATATTTTATTTTTATTTTTCTTATTTTCAAGCACACAATCTTTCTTAAAATAATATTATACATAAATCGAAAATTTTTCATTTTTTTTTTCAATCACTCATTTTTTTAAAAACACTATTCCACCCATTTTCATTTTTAAAAAATTGGAGTCAAACTGGGGCTAAATGTGCAATTTAGTTTGTCATTAATTTATACTGTCATGTGACATGATTTACACCATTGATTTTGAAGACACACATCACATCATTGCACAAATTCCCTCCACACAAAGGGAAACATCATTAAGAATGTACACCACTATATATATCTAGCATAATTCATATGTAGATTGGTCTTTACTTTTTATTATCAATTCTCGAAATCCCCATAGCATTTATTTGATTAAACTTTATTAGATTTTTGAATATCTTAAGTGGTCAAACTTCAAGTTAAACATACATTTAACTCCTGTTTGGTGGAGATTAAAATTATATTTTTAGTAAATTTTAATAAAATTATGATTAAAAAGTTGTGGATCACTTGAAATATGTAGTTAAAGCTAATTGTTGATATTAACTTAAAGCCCTTGTTTGAGAATTATTACTATCACTCTTTTTTCTACATATTCATTTTCAATCATTCGTTCACAAAATAAAATACTATGTAAGTAAATCTCAAACTTTTTCCTACTTTTTAACTACGTATTCTAATAATAATAATAATAATAATAATAATAATAATAATTGTTGATCTCGTCTTCCGTTAGGATGACGTGGATAATAGATACTGATCTCGCTTGTGTACACATAAACAATTTTCGACACGTATGGACAGGATGTAGTTGATAACACTCAGGGTTTGGATGTGAAAGATGTTTTATAACACGAGATAAATATGTTTGGACTCCAACAATATATTTTAAGATCAATTGTAAGATAAAAAAAAACCAATCGTCAATAATTTTACCAAAGCTAGATCATCTTAACTCAAGCAAAAACAAGTATATAATCAAGAAGAGATAGAACAAATAGCAGTTTTAAGTGTATTGATTTGCATTAGCCTTTAAATGATATATGGAGGGGATATTTATAATGTTACAAATGAAACTGTGTCCGTTGGATGAAAATCCATATGGCAACATCTCTTTGGCCAAATCATACAATCCTAGGCATCAATTCGACTTTTCTAGCCTGTGGAACATTTAATGCTCTTACAAAGAACAGCCACCATATTGCCTAAATTGACAAGACAAAACATTTTACTCGTTACAAAAGTTCCATCACTCATTCTAAAAGGACTTCCTACATAAATTCAGAATCATTTCGTGTGGGTCGTTGCTTACTATAGTTGGGTTTAAACTTTGACTTGTGCCGAGTTTCATCACTCAGCAAACAACTGAGCTTAGTTTCGAGACTTCATCTTGGACATAGGATTTCTTCGGTGGATGTGGTTTTCCAATTGGAGGGGGTTGGCTAGTTCAGTAATTGACAAATGAGCCTCCTACGTAGGCCCACATGTGGCGAGGCGTGACAAAATCACTACTCAAAATATTTTTCTTTTTAAAATTAATGACCACCAAACAGGAGCAAATTAAATTTTAGATTTTAATAATTAGATGCACAACTTTTCAATCGCATATTTTATTAACTTTTATTAAATTTTGTAATATATGTGGTTCTCGTCAATTATGTATCTTGATTCAAATATCTAAATAGTTATTCTATTTGAAAAACGATATCTAATTTTATAAAATTGAACATAGGAGCCTTGTCTAGATTAGCATATTTAAGTCAGATTTTTTTAAAAAAAAAATTTATATAGGAGCATGCTAGTTTTTTAATGGAAGCTTATAAAACAACTTGCTCACTTTTTGAGATTAGGATCACCTTTCTATGAGTTAGTTTTGACTTTGGGGGGCGGGGTGGAATTGCAATGGGGTACCTTTAAAAACGGCCAAGTCAAACTTACCAAATTTCACTTTGGCTTAAGAACAAAGGAATATTATGACAACGACCTATTGATTGTTAAAAGACGGAAAAAACCCTTAAGTACATTATACAATTACAAAAGCTGATTTTGTTTAAAAGACATTACGACCTTTTAGTTAATAAATAAAAACCAAACACTTCCCACTTAAAATATCAAAATCAGCTAACTTCTCTTTTCTTTTTACTCCAACACAAATAAAACACTCTTATCTTTCATCTGCTCCAACCTCAAAATCAGAAAAATTTATGGAACGCAGTAGCTGAAAATTCTTTTATATCAATCTTATCAGATCGGTAAGTAAAATACGCACATTTACTTTTATTTTCACTAAATTGTTGTACGTTTTAATAGATAAAATTTATTTCAACATATAATGTCAATGTAGATAATTTTTTTAATAGATCTATGAAAAATTTAAGCATTTGACGAGAAAAATTCATCTGTAAAAGTTGGTGTGTTTATTCTACCGAACAGTCAAATTTAACATCCAGTTGTCCAGTCAATTGTTAGAACAGCTAGCTGTCCAACTAGCAAACAGCCGACTGTTTGGCCAGCTTTTTTTTTATTTTTTGGCTATTTCTATTGCCTTCGATATTTTTCTTGCAATTAAAAATTCTGTTTCATCATGCAGATATGGTTGTAGATCTAGTCTGTTACTTTGGTGATTTCAAATTAGACGAAAGAGATCGATGGGTATGGAAATGAACGAACGATAAACGTAGTGGTATCCCAATTTTCATAGCAGAAACATCATCATATTCAGATCTCTATAATGCTTTACAGAACAAGTTGAATGTCAATCTCTCTCAGTATGACATGGAATTGAAATTTAAATTCAGCAATCAATATGTTCTGATTCCACCTATGACAATTTTTTCTGATGCCGAAATGAATTATCTATTTGAAATTAACAGTAGGCACCTAACTCCTTTTTGTGTGACTTATGTGATGAAGGATATCGTCAAAGGTAAACAAGTAGACTCGGATGAAGGGGATCACAATGCTAATGATTTTTGGGATACGATCCAAATAGCTTGTGAAGATGATGCGATTATTCCAGAGATAGTTACTCACAGAATTCCGTCCGTAGTTCACAACAATGAGTGTGAAAATGTGAATACTTTTACAGACGAGGATTTGATCAGTTTATCCCGTAGAGACATGAGCGGGATGGGATCTTAGGGGCTGGATCGAGTGGGCCGTCCTCTAAGTCCTCGCGTGTGGTTCTCGATGGTGATGATTTGTATGTCCAACAACTATTTGAAATGAAAAAAGATTTGTTGGAATCTGTGCACCTAATTGCGCTGAAATACAACTTTGAGTTCAAAGTGAAAAAATCGAACAAGTCATTGTTGACAATCGCTTGCGTAGACGACAGTTGCTGTTGGCGTTTGCGAACGACGAAGATGAATACGAACGAGTGCTTTGTAGTTCACAAGTATCCACAGGAACATAGTTATGAAGTGGGATTATGTTGAAATGATCACAGGCAAACCCGAGTTTGGTTTATTGGTCAATAGATAATGTACAAGTATCTGGATCCACATACGATCTACAGATCATCGGACATCATTAACGACATTCGTCGAGAGTATGGAGCAGTCTTGAACTAACAGAAGGCCTAGAAGGCCAAGGAATGCGCGTTTGTGGATTTAATGGGCTCTGTAGAAGAAAGGTATGCAAAATTGGCTAGGTATTGCCATAACATTGAAAAAAACTAATCCTGGCTCGAAAATTTTTATTGAGACGGAGGGTGAGAATTACTTCAAATTCTTCTTCATGGCTCTTAGACAATGTATTCGAGGATTTCAAAATGTAATACGACCCCTAATTCTAGTTGATGGTACAATACTAGAATCTAAATATCAAGGCAAGTTGATTATTACTACATGTCAAGATACCAACATCCAAATTTGCCCTCTTACGTTCGGCATAGTTAATAGTGAAAATGACTCATCGATGTGGTGGTTCTTCACAAAGTTGAGGAAAGTAATCGGGAAAGTCGAGGAGCTTACATTTGTAACCGATCGGGGACCATCTTTAATAAATGGTATCTCTGAAGTTTTTCCAGACGCACATCATGGGTATTGTATGTACCATATTCAAGACAATCCGCGGAGTCTCTCAATGCATTATTCAAGAAGGATCGAAAATTACCAATCATTG